GAAATGTAACCGAAAGTGGCAATGTGAAATTTGACAAAAACTGTTCACACGATGAAAATTCCTTTCGTCTCCATGAAAATTCATGAAATTCGCGTTGATGGTATCAATCTACAGCTACACATTCGACGCGTCGGTCTATGAACTCGCTCGATTTCTTCCATTGATTCTACTCGATGATGTATAGGATATGTACACTGGCAATTGGAGCGTTTCCGCGATGCTTGAGCCCGCTTTGTCGCTTTATTTCCCTTTTAATCTTCGCGTGAAAAGGGTTGGCCAGCTACGAGTGGGGATTGTCACAGGAAGTGGAGAACACGTGACCGACCTTCCTCACGGTCCGTTTTAATTGCGTCGACAGAAATTGCGCATTACCCGGCTCCACGGAGCTGGCTGTTGCCCGCTTCGGCAAATAAATTCGTGTTTTGCGCACGGTGTACGGTGGCCCTTGATCTTTGCGCTCCAGTTAATTGAGGTTTTCTCTTTGACGGATTAAATAGCGAGCTATTTCTTGGGTTGATTTAGGAATTCAATTAGACGTGTGTGCTGTGGTTTCCTAAGACCAGCGGTACCATGAAAATTGTGGTGGAAAAGTGTGCAGTACTTAAGAGTAGAATAAAATACCTCATGTAGAGTGTATCGTTAAAGAGACGAAAATTTAGACAATTTTAAGCAACGTCGATAATTCTACCTTAATTGACAAAGAAAGAAGAAAATGGACGTTTAATTTATCCGAGTGAAACGAGACAGGATTAGACGAAGCTCGTCCAACAAATAGAAGCTCCATACAGAATTTGCTCTCTGCCCAGAAAACTCTGCAGCCGTTTCTTCCTCTGGCAAACCCTCTCTTTTCTTTACACGCACTCGAACTCGGCCGAAAGTCAGCTAATCCACGGAACGTGACGTCGTTCCCGTTTCACCCTGCACGGTAATCGTCCCATTGGAGCTCAATTTTCCTCCGCTAACCACGATTTTTCCCGTCGCCCGGCCAGCATGATTAGGCACACGGTTCGAGGCGAGCAAAAAACAGACACGTGGGGAAGAGTCAGTTTTTAACGAGAAAGCTCTCGCGTTACGAGCGGAAAATGTTGGCTGGATAGAAGCGCCACGAAACTCTGGCGCTGGCCGCTCTCCGTTCGATAGAATCGCGCGCCGCGATGAAATATGCGCCCCGGCGATTTATCGCGGCTGATTTAAAATGCCCGAGTTACCTCTACGAAAGATCGTATTTTCGTTTCAACGCAGCGAAAGATAAAGAAACTCAGAGAATTAGAAAAAAAATAGAAAAGGCGAGTTAGTTTGAAATTTTGAAAAAGCAGGTCGACAGCGTTAGAGAAGGAGAGCATACGAGACGGTGACACGCGATAAAGGATAATCATTCTTCAATTTCGTTTTTTCCGCTCGGCCTCTCTGTACTTCTCTCCCGTCGATCGTTTCTTTCCCGTTTCACAGCGACGCGTCGCCTCGTTCCTTTTCCCCATTATTTCACCGCCTCGTTCTAACGGACCTCCCTTCGCTTTTGTTCGTTCTATGACGGTCGATCTATCATTCGGTTCGTTTACATCGGACAGTCGGTGCAACGCGCTCTCTAATTCGCCGCCTCAATTTTCACCGCGCGTTCGTCGCTGCACGGTTCGATCGAATCTTCGCCGTATCTCTCCCGATACCGGATCGAAGGGGAGAAATGTGGAACGCGTTTCCTCGAGATTTCCGGGGAAATTTTCTCGCGAGTTCGTCGAGCGCCTCGATATCGTTACGCCAAACGCTCGCGTGCTCTAAATACGCGGCTTAATTCACCGACTTGAGAACGAAACGCTTTTCCCGACGAGCGTGTACACGCGTGAACGAATTTCCTCTTCGCTGTTTAATTCGCTGACTTGTGGTAGGGAAATTTGTGAAAAGAGAGCGTGTTATTCGCGATTGATTGACGATGAAATTTTTCGAAACAGCGGAAAGGGACGATGAAAGGGTAAAAGAGGGAAAGAAGCGGTGTTTGTTAATTAAAATTATTCCCCGTGTACATTTGCGCGCAGACAGAGCGCGTAATCAGATTACGTTCATCCTAAAAACACACGGCCGGTGCATTATTTAAAGTGCTAATGAAAAACAATTTGAAGCGTTAAAATACAAGGGCTTTTAAAATAATCACACCGGGGGCTCTTTTCTCGTCGGCGAGAGAGGAGGCTGGCTACGCTTTTTTTTTTTTTTCGTAAGTCCGCGTAACAATAAAATCTTATTTAAGGCGGCGCCGTGTAATCTATTTCTACCCTTATTCATTGTAATCTCCACTTTGGCGAAACTTCTTTTACATTGGAGCGCGGTTTCCCGCGGAAGCACGATCTTTCTCCACCTTCTCATTAAAACTCTCGCGCTGTTTCTATGCGGGAGAATTATCTCGCTGTGACTTTGATGATTTTTATGTTTTATGATGATTTTAAATTGCCGTTTACTTCTTCGCGTCGTTGTTTCTCTGTTTCGATGGCGAGAGTGTTAACTTGAGGTGGACTCGGTCTTACTTTAAAGTAAAAAGGAAAAATCGTGGCAAAAGGAAGAAGGCGAAGAAATGATCTCCGCCTAAGAAGAGAACGAGGAAAGAATTATTTTACTGTGGCGAGAATTCGAGACTTCGTGACGATTACAGCGAGAGCTAACTCAAACTAAACTTAATCCTAATTTGAAGGAAAGGAAGAAATCGTGGCAAATGGAAGAAGGCGACAAAATGATCTCTGCCTAAGAAAAGAGAAAGAAAAAAATTATCTCACTGCGATAATTTTTAAAACTTCGTCGATATTCGTTGAAAACTTATCATTTGTACTCCGCCGCTCTATATCGCTATTGAGAGTAAAGGAAAGGGGAGTAAGTAAAGAGGGAAAGAAATCGTGACAAAAGGCGGAGAAGGCGAAAAACTGATCTGTACCTAAGAAGAGAGGGAGGAAGAAATTATGTCACTGTGACGAGACTTTGATAATTTTTCAAATTTCGTCAACATTCCGTTTCGCTGGTGAGAGTGTTAATTCGATCCTGGTTTAAACAAAAAAGGGAGAAAATGGCGACAAAAGGCGAGGAAGGCGAGAAATTGATGCGCACCTGAAGAGAGAGAGAGAGAGCTCGGGAAAAATTTGCAATCTCGAATGTAATTCTATTCAGCGATCATTGGATAAGTTTCTCGAGGGTAGATAGCCACGTGGAGGATCTTAAATCGAAAGGAAACGAGGTAGGTCGATTCGTGGAGAAGGGTGGATCGGTCCCAGGCGCGCTCCTCGCGGGGCAATTTTACGAGCGCGGATTCATTTATTACTCTTTGCTCGAGTAGCCATCGGTCCGGACGAGCGACGCCGCTCCGGGGTCTGGGAAATGTTTTATTGGCGATATTGTTGGCCGAAGATAAAGCGGAAGCGGGCTCCGCGATAGCCATGTGCGCTCTGCCGCGATATTCGCGCTATCCGGCAGTCGCTGGTCGCGTGTGCGCCTCGCTTTATTGCTCGTAAATACAAAGAACTGAAAAAGGAGCCGTGGGCGAACCGTACCTGCAGCGCATCTTATTGCCTTTCGAGGAGGAGCCGTGCACTGCGTTTAAAAATCTATCGCCGGAAGATATATCGTTCTTTCTACCGGCAATATGGTATAACGTTCGAGACCTGGGCAAATTTTTAAACGAGCAATTCGAGCCACTTAATCTTATCTCCTTTGATTATTCTCTCGTTAGTGGTGTTCGGTCTTCACAGGCACGGCTTATGACACGATCGAACGGCAACGGTTATTTTTGAGTTCAGGATTTCGTTTACTGCTTGTTCGTGTCTAATTACACCCTGGCTAGGGTCACTAGAATTGCTTGTTGGATCTTTAGTAATTTCTGTCCCTCGCGCTCAGTGGCCTAAGAACATGCCATAAACCACGAATTTCCGAACGGCACATCTACCTGTAACGGTACGCTTGCCGATGAGTCTCCCACCCTTCCAAGGTGACAGCGCGCTAAGGGCGCACTGGAAGGGCGGTGAAGACGCTATTAGACACCCTGATTGGTAAATGTAATTGTTAACTATTTAACCAATCAGCGTGCTCTAACGAAAAACTCCCACGGACATCCGAGGGACGACGTCGAGGGTCAGTCGTCCAACAATCACCAAGGAGCAACCAGCTGAAAATTGTAACCTCTTGACAAGTCCCAGTCTAACTGGGTGGTCCTTCGAGAAGGTTTTGAAATAAAGTCGGCACACCACGTGCAAGTACAAACCAAGCTCGAAAGTTGATTTTGCAACAATCACGGGCATTAACAAGTGGACCGATGAAAATTTTTTTCTATTCGAAATGGGTCAATTTTTTGCGCCAATCTTTTAGCAGATTCTGAAACGAATTCGACGTGTATGATGAAAAATCTTCTAGCTGAACAAGTAAAGCAATAGACCGGCCTGAACCAACGTTGAAATTCCACCGTCGTAAACGACCTACAGCCAACCTGCCATAAATAGTTACTCACCCATCTGGTTCATCTCCATCGCCCATCCCTTATTTCCTCGGTTTTCCGCCATCCCTTCAGTTTACAAACATTTCCAACTTTCAGTTTCTCTTCGCAAATGCTCCAACGTCCGTTCCTAATTTTAACTCCGCTCGATATCCAGCTGATCGCCACTCGTCCCGAGCTACATATTCCGAAGCGGAGCTGGCAAAACCGGCGGAACTTCACGCGCGTAAAATTGAACGCGTCGCGAAGTGTTACATATTATTCCGAGTGTTATACAAATAGCGTGGAAAGTTGAATCTGTCGCGTCGAAGAACAGCGTGGAAAAGAGACGCTGTTTCGGATTGGTCCGGCGCTTTTTCGAGCAGCTCGTTTTGTAATCGAGTGTCCCGTTGTGATTGTTACAGCTTATGGTAATTTGGGCAGCGTGCTGAGCGCCCAGGGACGCGTCGCGGAGGCGGAGGAGGCGTTCGTCCAAGCGCTTCGCTATCGACCGAACATGGCGGACGTGCACTACAATCTGTAAGTACGGCCACGTGCATTGCCCAATAATCCACTTTGTTGTTAGTCTTCTTTCTACCTCTTTGCCTCTTTTTCCCCTTCTGCCTGCTAATGGCGTTCAGCGGTAGATAGATTCCGGTCTCGTTCTGGTAAATAAGTAAATGGAACGAACGAGGAAAGCAAGTTTACCTGAAATCTCGTTTTTCGTTACACACTCTCTGTGCCAACTGTGCGTGTCACCTTTTATCAACGATCAAACGACCAAGCAGCTTTCCTCCACGTTGTGTCGCTTTTGTAACAACGTTATTCCGTCACGTTGACTCTCCCAAGATTCGCACACACATGCGCGAGCACGCGATAGATGACGGTCGTTTGATGGAGAAACTTTCATTATCAGAGAACTCGTTACGAATCCTCTCGACTCTCGCTATGGTCCTTCGTACTTCGTCATCCAAGATTTATGAGACGCCGTACAAGGGCGGAAAGTTCTTCCCTCCTCCCTCCTTTCCTATCGTCGCTACGTGTCGCGAATCCCTTCGTCTCCTCTCAAAATCCTAACATCCGGAATTGTAAAATGCCAACCCCGGCCGAGATTTCGAATTTCGTCTTGTCTCGCAGTGCACACGGGAACTTCTCTTGTGTAGTAACAGCGTCGTGCCACCGGTGTATCTATCGGGGAAACTTCCCTTCGGCGAGAACGTGTTCTCGCGGGAAACGAACACGGTTGGACTAGCTGACCCCGAATCCGTGGGATGGTTGTCGAATTTGCGTAATCCGCGAGCAAAGCGCCGCCCGGTCCGCAAATCTCGCAAGCAATGAAGTCGCTCCTGACTTAAGCAGCCGGGGCTCCACGGCGCAGCGGTGTCCGAAATCCGGGAAAGGGGCCGGCCGTGGGACGTGAGCGTGAGATAAAAGTCGAAGGAATCGCTGATCCTCGTGGGCGGAAAAATCTGTACACGCCGTGGAATTCTTTCGATCGTTCCCGTGTCGCCTTCCAGAGACTGGATCAGCGCTACCTGACGTTTCCTCGCTATTGGAAAAGGACGGAACAGCGTTCCGGGAGTAAATGGGTACCGTGGAAAATTGTACGGGAAGTTTCGTGTGTACTGGGTGGGAAAATTGGTGGTGACCATTCGCGGTATCTGCGTTTAAAGTACTCTTTGCACGTCGAAAGATTTTTGTAAAAAAGTAATTAATTAACGTAATCTCAAAGTTAAGATGTAGCTTGAATAAAGATCGTATGCTAATTTAACAAGGAACAGCGGCAGCCGTGCAGGTGTTTTAGAATTGCAACAATTCACGATATAGTGGTGGTCTGAAATGGCACGTGACCATTCGCGGTATCTGCGTTTAAAATACTCTTTGCACGTCGAACAATTTTTGTAAAAAGATAATAGCGAACGCTTAGCTTGAACGCAGATCGTATGCTAATTTAATAGAGAACAAGGACACTCGTCGTGCGGGTGTTTTAAAATTGCAAAAATTCGCAATATCTTTGTCGAATGAATAGTACCCCGTACGGCGACCCTAGTCGATAATTCCACGGTTGTTAACGACACCGCTTGCCCAAATTACGAAACGCCGGTGAAATTGGAAATTGTAATAATTTTGGGAATTTTAATGAAATAATTTCTGCACACCGGAATATATTACATTACATATCGTAATGTTATAATGTCACGACTACAACAGACTCCCCTCGATACGTCGAATCCGGGATGAAACAAATTCCCGGAAGGGAGTAACTGAAAGTCCCTCGGGACTTTCGATCGGTGCTCATCATCATCCGGCGATCCTGGGAAAGACGTGGAAGCCTGTCAAGCTGGTGAGTCGATAAGCCGCTGCTGGGCATCCCTCTGCAAGCCCACAATAAGCCGCTCTACGTATCATACGCTAGCTGCAACGCGGTTATCCATTATCTCATCCCGTAAGAGGTGATCCGTCCAGGTGCATCCTTGGAAGTAAGGGTGGTAGCTCGAAGACGCGCGGTACTGGACCTTCTTTGACAATCTTGCCAGCCGCCGAACCGTTCCTTCCCTTTTTTCCTATTCATTTTTGTCCTGTACCGTGACTCTTCTATAGTATCTTCAATAATTACTGTTCCGTCGAATCAAGATCGAATCAGAGTGTTTCGAGTCTTTTAAAAGAGTCACGCAAGGTTTCCCTTCACTCTGGAACGGTGAAACACATGGAAATTGTGGAAGATTTACGTTTTCTCCCTTTTTGTCCTGTACCAGGACTCTTCTATAGTATTTTCGATAATTACTATTTTATTGAATCACGATAACGAACCGAGGAAGTAACATAAACGCGACAGAGTGTTTCTCGAGTCTTTTAAACGAGTCACACAAGGTTTCTCTCGAAACACAGGAAAACAGCGAAAGATTTTCTCGCATCGTATCGACGCGCGGCGCGATAACGTTCGTACCGATTTTCCCTGGAACATCACCGTATCACCGTGGAAGAGATTATCAAGCTCGTAACAGAAAAGTGGAGAACGTCGGAGCGTGCCCGCGAGTGTCGTGACTTCCTCCTCCCTCGCCTAACTGATTGTAGGGGAGCAACGAATGCGCAGTTTCCCAGGCGCGTTGCCCCTGTTGTAGAACGTGTCGGTCACAATTCCGCTTCCCGTTGTCGCCCCGAGATCTCAACCGTGGATACACGCGAAAGAAACGGCCTCGATAAGCCTCGACCAGGTACGTTGTCCCTTCGACGGATCGATCGAGTGGACACGAACCAACCACGAAGCGACGGTAGTCGTGCAACGCGGGGGAGAAACAGGATTTTTACGCCTCGAGACGTCCTCCTAGCTGCTTTGCCAAGGCAACCCTAACTGGGAAGACTGATGGCTGGTTTCAGGGGAACCGATGGATGTTGATTTATTAAAACTCTCCCTTTTGTGTAAGTCATCGTTCAGCGGGGATAACGTTGAATGGAAAATTGATTAGATATTCTCCGGGCTGATAAAGGAAGGGAACGTTGTCCCGGGGTTCCTTTGTAGAGGTTACATCTTGATTATAGGATGCTTGGATAATGATGTCGCGTGTTCGACGAGAGTAATTAGCAGACACCTGATAATCGTTAGCGTTGACATCCGTGGTACGAGGGAATTTTTAAGGAATAATCGAGCTAGCTTCGATCGAGATTGGTAACTCGAGATTGTAACAAGGTGCTCTTGGCTTCGCTGGAAAAAGAGGAAAGAAGGAAGGAAAAAGTGGAAGAAGCGGGAAAGCAGGTAGACGCGTTAATCAAGCGTCGAGCGGGAATTATTGGCCGTTTCACAGTCGGCTCGGCACGCCGGATCTGCCAATGGCGATAATTACTCGACGGTAAATAGAATCAGTTGATTCGTCGACGAAATTGACACCGAGTTCAAAGGAGAGGCCCGCGTCGCTTAATTGTCGCTGCGGCGCCGGAGGTGCAACGCCGCGGTTACACGGGCAACGTTAAAGCAAGCATCTGTGCCGTTGCGGCGCAACGAAACTCTAGGCTAAAGAGATAGAGAGATAGAGGGATAGAGAAAGAGACTGTACCTTGCACATCGCGTTACACGCGCACACAACACTCGCTTATAAACGCACGCATGTACACGTAGATGCAGCTGGTACGAGTGCAATTGAAGGTTTTCACAACGACGCCGCCGACGCGAAATTACGCGGCCAAGCATCGCGAGTGCCGATGCCGCTCTGTTGAAAACGCTAACGAAATCAAACTGCGATCCAACGGAATTAATTTGCTTATTGTCCGGATGAAATTGACGTGAAACGAGCGGAGGAGCCGCGCTAATTGGCCCGGTGACAAACATTCTGTCGCGCCAACGATTCCATTTCTCGCTCTTTGAACGTCCGCGGACTCCCATTCTCCTCCTCCGCTCTCCCTGTCGCGAGATCAACTTCGTTAAATGCGTGCAAATATTTACGCCGTTTCATCGACTAACAGCACCATATTTTCTCTCTCTCTTTCTAAGAGTAAAAAATTACACTTTGTGGGAAGACTCGTTTGGAACGAGTTTGGAAACGGTGAAACGATTACGAGGGCCAATTAAAGACGAGACGAGTGGAGGGTTACCGGTGGTTTTTCAAGGTTCTCGGGAGATGATTTCGTCGATCTCCCCGAGTTTTCCACGTGAAATCGAGCAGTTTCTTGTTACCGAGTGAAAGTGGAGATAGGAACGTTAATTCGGCGAAAGGGTCAATATTGAGGATGTGACGTACTAGTTGGAGGAGGATGGAACGTTTAAGGGAGGATGCGACGTCGCTAACGAACGGTCGACGAACGTAACGAGGCTAATGATGACAATTACGTGTCCTCGTAAACCGGATGAAACAGGTTGAAAGGACGAAATAACGATGGCCGTAGAGATGAAATGGCCGACAATCGACGTCGATGTAACGGAAAGATCGTTACGAAATGGCACGTGAGGACGCGCATAATCCACGAGGGTTAGAACGCGAATGGAAGCAATTACAGGTTATTGGCGTTAAAAGGTGGAAGTTTCTTCGGGACGCGTCAGCGGGATAGTTTCCCCCCACCCCGTTGGATTTATGCATCTCATCGATGCGACGAAACGTCTCGTAGGAACGCGAAACTGCGGCAATAAACTTTGGAAACGACTCGCGACCAACTTATATCTCGCGTTATCCTTTTCCTCTGCAATTTCGAGTTACTTGGAGCCAGTTCACCTGAAATTCCCGGCGACTTCATCCGCGCTATTCACGCTGTTAATTAAATCTCTCTTCAACCAGATGGAGATTCGCCGGTTGGAAAAATACGAGCGCGGGCGTAACACCCTCGAATTTCCCGGCGATACTTTGTCGAAACAAGATATTGTTAGTCGAGAACGAGATCCAATTACCGGCTGACGGACGTGTATTAACCCCGCTGTTGATTTCGCCTAATGCAGACCACGGATAAACACCCGCGTCTCGCTCATTGTTACCTTCTAACGTGATTAGATTTTCTTGGCGGATAGATTCGCTTCGCCTTTGTCCACTTTCTGCGAAGTTAATCTTCGCGTGAGC